CTGTTATACATAGGGTCATGTGAGTCAGAGCCAACTCAATGGCACCTAACGACAACATGGGGTACCATACAAATACATATAAATATGATACCCTGGCCATAAAAGCACAAATATACACTATGCAGGTATCATGTTCTTATAAATTTGAGGGTGAACACATTTTTTAAAAGTTTATCATCCTGCAATAGGTCCCTGGCTGGTTGAGGGTTCTAAACCATCCAGGAGTGCTGAAAAAGAAAGACCTGGTAATCTACTTCTTTATGATCTGTTGTTGTTACCTGCAGCATAGTTGGCCTGACTCATACAGCCATTAAAAACACTACAGAGTGCAGTTCTTCTCTGGCACAGAGAGGGTCACTGTGAGCTGGAATCACTAACAGCAACTGATTTGGTTTGATTTTATCATCCTTCTAGGACACTCAGAAAGCTTTCATGTAGAAAGAATTGTAAAATAAATATTTTAGTAGAGCAATGAGTTCCTCTGTGTACACTCCTATGGTTTAGTAAATTACATGGTATGGCTTTTCTAGCCATAGCCTTTGTAACTCCTACTGGATTACTGGGTTGGACCATGCAATTTAAACTCCTAATTGTTAAAGTCATCCACCTGGGGTACTTCTGTTGGAGCAACATGAAATAATCTTCTGGGAAAGTTTGCACTCTCTCTCAGTTGTGTAGAAGTCTGATGTTGGGATTGGTTGGTTCTGCCACTCTGCTAGGCTCAAAATAAGCCCTCCTAGAAGCAAGAAGAAATCTGACTGCCAGCTGAGAGAGATATGCTGCTGAGAGAGACACACTGCTGAAAGAGAGATGTCTGGCTGAGAGATGTCAGTAGTGGAACTAAGAGGCACAAGACAGAGTGGCAGGCTTACCAGGCCCATAGAGGCAGAGGCCAAGCCAAGAGGCTAAGGGCCAGAGAGGCATGTCTAAGGGCACAGCAGAGGGGAGACGGTCCTGACCGAAAAGAACTGTATCCTAAGCACATTCCTAAATTTGAATTACAGCCAGTTGCTCCCATAATAAACCCTATAATCTGTGAGTTCTATGTGGCCACTACAGTGAATTATTGAACCCAGCAGAGAGGTGGTGGGTGCCACGGCAAGAATGGTTGGTGTCAAGGTTAGTAAGATAGCTGGAGAGTGGCAGCACATCTGGCCTCACAGGAACAGACACTGGGCTGCTGATGGTGATTCTGTCTTCCTCTTGTATAGTTAAAGGAGATCAGAATATGCCACTTCCTTGCCTCTTTAGCAACCCCATATCCCCTATGCTACAAAAGTTAACGTTTCTGTATAATGGGTTTTCTTAAAACAGGACATATTTTCAAATTATACTGTGTCTGAAAAAGAAAAAAAAAATCCATTTATAGGAGCCTGTCCTGGAAATAGTAAATTAGATGGAGAAGTTTTGAAGAAATGAATTAATGAAAGGCTTTGGTTAATTATCTTCTATTTTATACATTTCATCTCTGTAAGACACAGGATCACCATACAGTATGCTAGGAAGTTGTTCGAGGCAGCCACGTGATACCATTCACCAGTTCATCTTCTCTGTTGAGTAAACTCCATGAATATGAACTGAAAGGGTATGACTCAAAGCGTTTAGGACCACAGGAAATCAAAGGAATACCTATAACATTGAATCCCCAAGATGCCTTCATGAGCAAAATGAACAAGGGTTTGTCTCTAAACATGAAGGTTCTCGCTGGGATAAATGTGGTATAAGAAATATCTTTATTTTCATTTCTTTTCCTCTCTGCTAATGAGTAGGGAATTAGGGGATAAAGTTATTAGAAAAGTGATCCCCTTCATACACTATCTTGCCAATTCCCACTTAAAACTGGGCAGGACAGACCAAAAGAGTTGTGACACAGAAAAACATAATGATGCAAAATCAAACACTTCACAATCGGCCCATCTAAAGAGAAACTCCCATCAAATGCCTTGCGCAGCCAATTGCACACAATGCCAAACAGCTCCTCTTTAAAAGAGAGAATGCAAATGTGTGTGGTTCCAAATATGATCAGAAACATATGACACCCGTATTCCAATCCAACCATAAAACATCATGCCGAGGCCATCTAAAAGACATTCTAAAGCCCTGGAATCTCAGTTGCCAAAAAGCAATTTGAAGAATGTTCACTTAAAATATTCACAGAAACTTTGGCTTTTATGGGGCAGGATAAGAACCATGTCTCAGAATACCAAGATGATGTGTTTGTAATTTGCAGCAACTCTATTTTTAACTTTCTATCAGAACTATGACAGCACAAGCATCAAATACTGAATAAACATTCAAAGAAACCTGACAAAAGTTGACTATGACCTTCAAATACTAACCTAAGGCCCAAACCTGAATCCCTTATAGATTTATGAGCAGAACAATGCTGAGTTGCCTATAGCAGGGAGCTCAACAAGGTCAGTAACTTCAATAACAACAACAAAAAAAATTGAAAGAGACTCTTTGCCACAGTCAGTCATGAAAGGACACATACTGTATGATCTCACTTACATGAAATATGGAAACACATAGAATCCAAAGCTTGTTAATGGTGACCAGGGGTGTGAGGGAGGCAAAGAGGGAATTTTTGCTTAGTTGTTGTTGTTGTTAGGTGCTGTCCAGTTGTCGCCGACTCATAGCAACCCTATGCATAGCAGAACAATACACTGCCTGGTCCTGTGCCAGCTCCACAATCCTTGCTATACTTGAGCCCATCACTGCTGTCACTGTGTCAATCCATCTCATTGAGAGTCTTCCTCTCTTTCATTGACCCTCCACTTTACCAAGCATGACATCCGTCCCCAGTGAATGGTCCCTTCTGACAACATGACCAAAGTATGTAAGACAAAGTCTGGCCATTCTCCCTTCCAAGGAGCATTGCAGCATTCCTCCTTCTTTAGTTCTTGTGGCAGTCCATAGTGCTTTCAGCATTCTGTACCAACACAATTCAAAAGCATCTATTCTTCTTCGGTGTTCCTTATTCATCGTACAGCTCTCACATGCATATGAGGTGACTGAAAATATTATGGCTTGTGTCAGGCGCACCTTAGCCTCAAGGAGACATCTCTGCAAGGAGACATTCAGCACATGAAAGAGGTCCTTTGCAGTTGACTCGCCCAGTGCTATACGTCAGCTGATGTCCTGACTGCTGCTTCCATTGGCGTCGATTATAGAACCAAGCAATGTGAAGTCTTTGACAACTGCAATCTTTTCCCCATTTATCATGCTGCTTCTTACAGGTCCAGTTGCGAGAATTTTTGTTTTCTTTATATTGAGATGTAATCCATATTGGAGACTGTAGACTTCAATCTTCATCAGTAAGTGCTTCAAGTCATCCTTACTTTCAGCAAGCAAAATTGTATCATCAGCGTATCTCAGGTTGTTAATGATTCTTCCTCTAATCCTGATGCCATGTACAGTCCAGCTTCTCGGATTATTTGCTCAGCATATAGATTGAATAAGTGTGGAGAAAGATACAACCCTGACACACTTCCCTCTTGATTTTAAACCACGCAGTGTTCCTTGTTCTGTTCGAACGACAGCCTGTTGGTCTATGTACAGGTTCCTCCTGAGTACAATTAAGTGTTCTGGAATTCCCATTCTTCTCAATGTTATCCACAATTTGTTATGATCCACACAATCAAATGTTTTGCGTAGTCAATAAAACATAAGTAAACATCTTTCTGGTATTCTTTGCTTTGAGCCAAGATCCATCTGACATCAGCAATGATATCCCTTATTCCATGTCCTTTTCTGAATCCAGCTTGCACCTCTGGAAGTTCTCTGTCAACATACTCCTGCAACCATTTTTTAATTATCTTCAGTAAGACCTTACTTGCGTGTGGTATTAATGATATTGTTCGATAATTTCCACATTCTATGGGATCACCTTCCTTTGGAATGGGTACAAATAAGGATCTCTTCCAGTTAGTTGGCCAGGTAGTTGTCTTCCGAATCTCTTGGCATTGCCGAGTGAGTTTCTGTTTAGGGGGCAGAGAGTCTGTGTTCATCGGGGAGGAATAATTTGGAAAAGGATAATGAGAATGCTTGTGCAACTTGAAGAATGTAATCAGTGTCACTGACTGTCTGTGCAGAAACTGTTGATTTTGTGTATGTTGTGCAAGGCATAACACAATTGGAGAAAAAAAAAAGACTCACTGGACGTGATTATTTTATAAAATCTTCCCCTTTAGGGAAGAGCTCTTGGAATCTCATCTGAAAATGCTGAAACGTTTCTTCTGCCTCCACAAACTCCTCTAGGTCCATCAAATAAGATAGAACTCTAAAATGACATCCAAAACCACCCAGCCCACAAGACTCAGGTCCATTCCAACTCGTAGTGACCCTGTAGGACAAACTGGAACTGTCCCATAAGGTTTTCAAGTCTATAATCTTTACAGAAGCAGACCGTCACATTTTTCTCCCATAGAACGACCGGGGGGTTTGAATCACTAACCTTCAGTTAGCAACTGAGTACCTTAACCACTGTGCCACCAGGGCTCCTAAAATGATCTCCAAACAAACCAAATCCACTGGCATCAAGTCGATTCTGACTCCAACTGACCCTTTAGGATAGGGCAGGACTGCCCCATATTAAAGACAGTAAGTCTTTACAGAAGCAGACTGCCTCATCTTTTTTCCACAGAGTGGCTGGTGGGCTCAAACTCCTGACCTTTTGGTTAGCAGCCAAATGCTTTAACCACTGCACCACCAGGCTGTTAAAATGACTGAGTTGATTCTAACTCACAGTGACCCCCATTAGGCTTCCAAAGCAGTAAATCTTTAAGGAAGTAAATGGGTTTGAACCACCAACCTTCTGGTTAGCAGTCAAATGCCTTAGGCACCACCCCACCAGAGCTCCTTAAAATGATCTCCAAGGTACCTGTAATTAAAATACAAGCCTGCCTAGAGCTGTTTCAGTCAGGCAGGTGCAGGTACTTCAAATATGCAAAGATCCGTGCAGGGGAAGAAAATTCACGATTTTGGAATCTGCGACCTACTTTTTCTGGAAGCTGGGATTCCACCTCTTTCTTCAGTCTCCTCAGTAGAAAGGGTCTCAACACCTTATGCAGACGCCTGATGATCAGTATAGTTTCTTCCTCATTCAAGTCCACCTACAAGAGAATCTCAGATGAATCTGATTTTTAGACAAGCTTGTTTTGTGTCATAAAGCTTCTCATCACTTGTTAGTATCAAGACATGACTGAAATTTTATCTGCATTAAGGGCAGGCCGTGTACACCTCAGGATTCCCTTCCCACCTGCCTATACAGATGGAAATAAAACAACCTCTACCTGATGTCCTTGTCTTTAATGCTGAGTTCTGCAGAAAAGGGTCCCAGAAGCCACTAGTTTTAGATCGACAGTATTAAAAACCTACTGCCATCGTATTCATTCCAACTTATAGTGACCCTTTTGGAGAGTAGAACTGCCTCATAGGGTTTACAAGGCTCTCGATCTTCACAGAAGCAAAGCCCAAACCAAACCCACCGCTGTTGAGTTGATTCTAACTGACAGTGCCCCAGAGGACAGAGTAGAACTGCCCCATAGGGTTTCCAAGGCTATAAACCTTTACAGAAGTAGACTGCCTCAACTTTCTCCCCCAGAGCAGCTGGTGGGTTTAAACTTCTGATCTTCTGGTTAGCAGCTGAATGGCTGAACCACTGCACCACCAGAGCTCCTTTCAATAGTATTAACAACCCAGAATTTATTAGATGGAATTATCAATAAAAGCTGATCAAAGAATTGGGATAGAACAGGAGAAGACAGGCAATGGTTAATATGTTGCAAATGGCTAATGCACTTGGCTGCTAGCTGAAAGGGCTGAATGTTTCAGTTTACCCAGAGTGGCTCAGAAGAAAGGACTGCAATCTACTTCTGAAAAACTAGCCACTGAAAACCCCACGGAGCACAGCTCCACCCTGACACACATGGGCTGCCATGAGTTAGAGCTGACTCGATGGTAACTGGTTACTGGTTTATTTAAAGGCAAGACATTAAGTTAGGCTCTTAACTGAGGCTGTCCCAGATTCAGGAGAAAAACGGGGAACCAGGGCTTGAACCTGAAAAGAGAAACAAGAGCCAACCCAGTTTATGCTGGGGGTGGGGAGCTGTAAGCTCCACTACCTCCCTACTTTCCTTTTCTCTGCCCTGACCTTGGTCCAGTTCAACTATATTTATTAAAAAGCCCTGGTTTTCTCTTTCATCTTCCTCTATTAACCCTTAGGGGGTAGAGTTGTTGGGCACAACTGTCTACAAACAGGCTCCCCAATTAATTACTGACAAATGGCAACTGTACCTCTAAAGTACCTCAGAATTAGAGGGCCAAAGAGTTCAAACAGGAATTTTCCTAACAGGTTCTGCTGTAGATTCTTGTTCCTGCAGTTAAGAAACCGCTAATCAGAACACCATGTGTCCGTTTCTTGTTTTGCATGGCCCATGCCTTTCTTTCATAAATGACCTCTAAGAGAAGAGAGTTTGAGAAATGGAAGGCTTACAAATGAGAAAAGTTTAAAATGGATACTCCAAGATCTGAGAAGAATTTATGTACAAACAAGGAGCCTCGGTGGCATAGTGTTTAAGCACTCAGCTGCTAACCCAAAGGCCAGCAGTTCGAACCCACTAGCTGCTCTGCAGGAAAAAGATGAGGCAGTCTACTTCCTTAAAGGATTTACAGCCTCGAAAACCCTATGGGGCAGTTCTACTCCGTCCTACAGGGTAGGTATGAGTTGGAGTTGACTCAACTACAGTGGGTTTGGTTTTGGGGATATGAAAGCAAAACTAAAGCCCGTACTAAAATCTGAAAATAAATGTGTGCTGAATATTACTGCAAACTAGTTCTGTTTTATACTCAGACTCTTCATGCAGAAATATTTTAAAGGGCAGTCCAAACTGATGAGAAGGTAATGTGTGCTTTAACGTTTCTATTGAGTTGGCTGAGTTGGCCTCGTCAAACTAATTCAACAAGTTCAGCCTGCCTGTGACCCATCACAGTTAAGCATCCTACCAGTGTGGAACATCTCTGGTGGCCTGGTGGACATGTCAGCAAAAACATAAAGGAGTTAGGATGACCCACACATCACTAAATCTTTCTTAGGCAAGGTCAAGAGCCCTAGAGTAGAAACATGTCCATCTACCAATCGGCTCCTGTTAGGAGGTGACATTGTGAAAGCCTGTGAGGGTATGCTGTAGCTCTAATGTTCTCAGTCGTTGGAGAGGTTCCCAGGTGGTGCAAACAATTTGCACTTACCTACTAAGCTAAAGGTTGGGAGTTCGTACCCACTCAGCGGTACCGCCCAAGAAAGGTCTTGTGACCTGCTTCCATTAAGATTACTCTCAAGTCAATTCCAACTCACAGTGACCCTGTAAGACAGAGTAGAATTGCCCCATAGGATTTCCAAGGCTGTCATCTTTACAGAAGCAGACTGTCACATCTTTCTCAGATGGAGCCACTGGTAGATTCAAACCACGCTTTGGTTAGCAGCCCAGTGCTTTAACCATTGGATCACCAACGTTCCTTCCATTAAGATGATAGCCAAGGAAACCCTATGGGGCACAGTTCTACTCTGTAATATATAGGTCACCATGAGTCAGAATAGACTTGCTTGTAATGGTTATTTTTTTATTTTTTTTTATTTTACTTTGGAGAGTTTATTGTCCTCATCCTGAGGCCATTTCATTTCATGGACCTATAGTAGAAAACCCAGAAGTTAGACCAGTACCCTTTCTCCAGTCATGGCAAACGGGGCATTGAACCACTGCTCGAAGGTGCTGCAGCTCTTGAAAATTGTGGGGAGGAGAAAGTTGAGGAGGGCCCAAAGTTCAGGAAGCTTGTTCTGCAGTGGGGTCCCCGTCAGGAGAACCCTTCTTGGGGCCACGTAGTGAGTGTTCAAGACCTGAGTCAGCTTGCAGTGGTGGTTCTTCATGCGGTGTCCTTCGTCCACAATCATGTATTTCCACCGGATCTGTAAGCAAGAGGTGGTGGGCAAAAAGACGTCACTATGCAGAAGGCAGCTCCTCCAATGGAAGAGAGATGATGGAAAACCAAAGACTCCACATACAGTTCACGGCATGATGTGATATTCCTTACAACAGAGGCATCTCAATAAACAGCCCATTCCCTGTGCCTGATAATAACCAAAAAAAAAAAAAATCAAACTCAATGCCGTTGAGTCAATTCTGACTCACAATGACACTGCTTTGGTTTCCGAAGTGGTAAATCTTTACAGAAGTAGATTGTCCACTCTTCTGTGGAGTGGCTGGTGGGTTTGAACCGCCAGCCTTCTGGTTAGCAAATGCTTTAGGCACTACACCATCAGAGCTCCATGCCTGATAACAGAGATGATATTTTGATAACATATGCATATCTTGGAGATACTGCAGGTTTGGCTCCAGACCACAACAATGAAACTAATATTGCAATAAAGTGAATCACACACAGTTTTTGGTTTCCTAAGGCTGGCAGTTCAAACCCACCAGCCACTCCTTGGAAGGAAGGTTGGGCAATCTACTTCTGTAGTGATACTGCCTTGGAAACCCAAGAAGGGGTCGCTAAGAGTCGGGTTCGATTCAATGGCAAATAACAACAACAACAATGCATATAAAAGTATGTTTACACACTCCTGTGGTCTAATAAGTGAGCAGTATCACTAGGAAAAAGTTTGAAATATTGTGAGAATGACCAAAATGGGACACAGAGACATGACATGAACACATGCTGTTGGAAAAACAGCAGTGATAGATTTGCTCGATGCAGGGTTGCCACAAACCTTCGATTGAAAGTGTGAATAAAATGCAGTATCTGCAGGATGCAATAAAACAAAGCTCAATAAAACAAGGTGTGCCTGCAGTCCATTCTCTCTGCCTGATAATATTTTGAAATGCATATCCAGAAGACAACATGATGTAATAATGGACTGTTACAGCAATAATGTTCCTCTGGGGCCAAGTGATTCCAAATGACCTTTTCCCAGAGGAGGACACTTGGGTCCAGAATGAATGGCTCCAGTCTGGCATTAGTAGGGCTGGGACCTCTGCTCATCCAATGCTCCTTTCATTAATCTAACACCCCAACTGCTCTCCCAGAGAGTAATGGTCATGCTTCCTATGCACAAGGAAACTACAGATTCTAGATCTCCAGTTGAAGCAGAAGTGAATGACTGATTTTTCCAAGATGGTGCTACAAGGTACCTACATGTAGAGGGTACCTACATGAATTAGAGTCAACTCAACAGCCACTGGTTTTGTTCCATTTTATTTTTATAGCTGAGACACTCGGTCTTGGTCTGGAAGCTCCACTTAAACCTGTCCACCATACGTGCCCCTGTGGGTATCTGGAATAATAGTGGTATAGCTTCCAGCATCACAGCAACACACAAGTCAACGTAGTACAACAAACTGGTGGAGAAGGAAGAAAGGCCTGCCGATCTACTTCTGAAAATCAGTCAATGAATATGGATGGATCACAACAGAATACTGTCTGATGAGGTGCTGGAAAACGAGTCCTCCTAGGTTGAAAGGCACTACCTAATAGCTACAACAATCTACTCAAACCTATTTATGACTGTGAAAATGGTGCAGGACTCGCCAACATTTCCTTCCATTTCACTTAAGGCTGTCCTGAGCTGGAGTCAACTTAGTACAGTGGTGGAATTCATGGCTCCACACCTTCTAGTCTGTTGTACTGGCTGGCTACTAGCTTCAAGGCTTGGCTCAGTGTTCATTTTAATCTTTTTCTTTAAGCATTAAAACTCACTGCCGCTGAGTCAGATCCAACTCATAGCAACCCCTCCTTCAGTTTCTGAGGCAGTATCTCTACAGGAGTAGATTGCCCAGTCTTCCTTCTGTAGAATGGCTGGTGGCTTTGAACCACCAGCCTTCTGGTTAGCAGTCAAATGCCTTAGGAACTAAGTTGTACTATTTCACTCAGAAGTCTGGACCTTTAGCTTTTTCAAAATAATCAGAAAATCTGGCAACACTGGGCTCTCAGTTCATGCATCTTTCTCACCTGCCAAGCCCTAAAGGAATCTAGGTGGGGTCCCTATTTTAAGATATCCAAAACAAGAGGGTTCACTGACCTGCAGAGAGGGCAGTGCTAAAATAAAATTCCCCCGTTCACACCCAAACTGCAGAATGAAATATGACCATGTCCCACAAGATGACTGTCACACAGAAGGGCAACCAGAGGACATGATCCTCCTTCCTACGTCTACATCTAACCCTCCCCTCTCTACCTTGCCCTCTAAACCTTCCACTGAACCCAGCCATTCCCTACAAAATGGTGGCAATGGCCAAGACTAGCACTAGGTTATCGCACGTCCTGATTCCACTGCCTAAGCCCCTAGAGATATGGGGAGCACTCAGAGTGTTCAGTACCATCGTCACCTTCTTGTTAGAAGCACCAGTAAAGCCAGGGGGCAGGGAACAGAATCATCAGGCAGGTGGGATAGACAGGTAAAAGAAACCACAAGAGCTGTAAGAGTTTTGCTCTTTCCTTCCTCTGTCACCTCCAGGAAATGTGTTTAAGAATCATTTAAGTTGTACCATCAACGGCCCCAAACTTACCAGTACCCTGAAAAGAGGTCAGCAGATGGAAATGCATTTAAATAAATATCCTAAATTGACTTTCCTGTCTAATTTAGCTTATGGAATAATAGAGAATCAGAGGCCTTTGATTTTCCTACTGGGTCTACTACTAATTGGGCTTCTGCTCAGAAAAAATTATACCCCTTTCTATAGCTGTGTTTCTCCAGTAACAAATAAAAGCAATGCATCTTGTTACCCAGCATCTCTGGTGGGTTTTGAGATACATATGCAGAAGACACAATGTCAATTTTTTTTTTTCCTGTAGAATCTCAAATGTACACACATATTCCCATAGTAATATTGAAAAGATGTCTTTTTCTGATACTGCCAAATTTGTCTCTGATGATGATCGGGAACACAGCATTGCTGCTGGTGCCATCGCAATTATTAACCCTCCCCTGAGAACACACTGCCTTTATGTGATTTCCTATGATGCCATGAAGGGAAATCTCTGTTCCCCAAGCAAAAGTTTAGTGCTGAGACAGAATGGACCCCAGAAATAGGGATTTTGCTCAATTCTGGTTCTAACTGAGTTTCAGATTATAGCACTTTCAAGACACCACACAGTAGAAGAAATTACCAAAGGTTAAAAAAAAAAAATTCAGTTTTCATATTTGCCTCATGAAAGAAACAACTTCGTTCATTCTGCATAAATATATCAGAAGAAAAGATGATATAAGTGTGTGGGGGGGGACCAACTTTCTATTTTGTGGCTAATGGACAATTTAGGACAAATTAGGAGACACAGGGACTGCAGGTAGAAAGTAACCCTTCGTCGCCTCCAACAGTTACAGATATAGCCCTGAATGATTCAACCGATGTTGTTGTTATTGTTAGGTGCCATTGAGCTGATGCCAACCCACAGCGACCCCGTGTGACAGAGTGAATCTCCCCATTGTGTTTTCTTGGCTGTCATCTTTACAGAAGCAGATCACCAGGTCTTTCACCCATGGAGCTGCTGGGTGGATCAGAAGCACCAACTTCTGTTTGACAGTAGAGCAGAAACCATCTCCACCACCAGGGCTCCTTAATTGGAACAGTCATAGCCCATTATTTAACCGAGAAAAACCTAGAACTGTGCAAGCACAGAAGCTGTACTCTGGAAAAATATTCACATGGAGAAGATCATCTAGAGAGGTGCCTACTTGTCTGCAGAGAGACAAAGGCATGAGGGGATGACACTAGGTTTCCAACAATAACTCAGGACAAGACACCATTCCTGTATTCAGGGCACAGTCCAGGCTGCTGGAAAGAAAAGGGCTGCTGAAGGAGTCTGGGGTGTTGTTCTTAAGAGAGGGGGCCCATCAACAATGAGAAGATGGTTAAGAGTCCCAGAAGGAATCACACCCACCAAAAAAATAGCATCTATGAAAGTAAAACCCGTGACCAGAAATAGGTGACTCTGAAAAAGTGCGGAGGGAGGGGGGAGAGGGGAATGGAGGGGCCACCTAAAGATCAAATTACACCAGTGGGTATACCAGCACTTGGCTGCATTCAAGTTATTGGCTCAGTGGCATAATGGTTAAAGCACTTGGCCACAAATCAAAAGGTCGGCAGTTTGAATTCACTAGTCACTCTGATAACCAGAAGGCTGGCGGTTCAAACCCACCAGCCACTCCTCGGAAGGAAGATGGGGCAATCTACTTCCGTAGTGATACTGCCTCGGAAACCCAAGGAGGGGTCGCTATGAGTCGGGTCCGACTTGACGGCACATAACAACAACAGCAACAGTCACTCTGCAGGAGAAAGATGTGGCCATCTGCTCTCATAAAGATTATAGCCTAGGAAACTCTATGGGGGCAGTTCTACCCTGTCCCCCAGGGTCTCTATGAGTCAGAATCAACAGCAATGGGTTTTTTTTTTTGGGACAGTGGAAATGGCTTGTGCAATAATACTACAGAAGAAAGTTCTCAAGACCTGCTTCTGTTATGATTATTGGCAAGAAAATGCTATGGAGCAGTTTTCCTTTATAACACATGGGGTCACCATGAGTGAGAACCAACTGGACAGCAACTAACAACAAAACTCATCAACTATGAGAATACAGGCAAAAGTCCCAGGATGAAGCACACTCATCAACAAAGTTGTCGTTGTTCATTGCCACAGAGTTGGTTCTCACTGATGGTCACTCCATGTAGCAGAGAAGAAGTGCTCCACAGAGTTTCCAGGGTTATGACCTTTTGGAAACACATCATTAGGCCTGACTTCTCAGGGGCCTCAGGGTGGGCTTGAACCACCCACCTTCTAGCTAGTAGTTGAACACTTAACTGTATGAGCCACCCAGAGACTCCAGTGACCAAAATATACCTGATTCTCTGAGAGAGAAAGTGGGGAGTGGGGGCAGTGGGGAAGAGAGAGAGAAGTTATCTAATGATCAAATTATACAAACCAATCCCACTGCTGCTAAGCAGATTCCAACTCACAGTGACTATCAATTTTTACAGAAGCAGATGGCCCCATCTATCTCCCTCAGGGTGGCTGGTGGGTTCGAACTGTCAACCTTTTGGTTAGTAGCTAAGCATTTAACCACTGTGCCACCAGGGCTCCTTTAAATTATACTAGTGAGTGAAATGTGGGGACTATTTGTACTTTAGTGTGGTGGCCCATCACGCCAGAGAAAAGCTCTTTTTTAAAAACATACCTTGGCAAGAATGTGCTTGTCTTTTATAATGTACTCGTAAGTCGTCAAGAGGACATTGAATTTGCCACTCCGTAGCTGGGGGACAAGGGAGCGGCGCATGGCAGGGGTGCCCTAGATGGAAAGAAGAAAACACAAGTTGCCCAATGGTGTCTGAGTGTGTGATTTCTCACCAGTCACAGCTCAGGGGGCCGGAGCATGTGAGAGGGAGGGACAAGCGCGTCTGCTTTATCACACACAGACCTGTCCTCTGTGGGGGCAGCGCATGCTAAACTGTACATCTTGGCACTTTCCAGACCCTTCCAGAGAAGCTTTCCTGAGGAAGGCCGAGGGAGAGGTAGGAGAAGGGAGGAAATGAGGGTGACACGGTAAGGCACCATTTCTATGGATGAGGATAGTGGCAGGCCGGGCGCCTGGGTAATCACGGCCTGACTTTGTGGGCAGCCCACAGCAACCCGGTCAGCGGCACTCAGAACACACAGTATTTGTTATTTGTATTACTCTCATCAGAAACCTTGCAATATGATGATTAACAATTTTCTTCAGCATTTCACTATCTGAAAGTAATTATGGTTTATTACAGTAATCTTCCTGGGATGATTAACTCTCTCTGTTTAGTGCATGATGTACATGACAGAACTTTACAACCAAATACCGGTCACAGATGTGCGTGTGCAGTGAAGGAAACAGGGTCTATTTTGTGCTTTTCCCACATTTATACATAAACACAGCATTCCAAACCTTGTAGGAAATTTTCACCACAGAAGGAGCCCATTTGTCAAATTCGTATGTCCAGTTCGATAGGGTCCTAGAGAACAAACGGAAAGGAACAGACAGAAATAAACACGTGTACAAAAATCAGTGGTCGAAAAGGTGTTCTTATTCATTTTTCAGGCCTCCCCTTGAAAGGGCCGAGAGAACATAAAATATCTCCACTACGTATTTATTTTAAAGCCGTGGAAGAAAGAGATAAGTTAGCAATAAGCTGCCATGAAGCATGACAGGTTTATTTGTGGGCCAAAGAAAAATCTCATAAGAAAAAATTACAGAATGCATAAACATAGAGGGCAGGAAAACTAAATTTTAACATGGCATTAGAAAACAGCCACTGCCAGGGTGGTTCTGTGAGTCTTTAGAAACAGCCATATAAGTACAGAGAAAAGTTGAGTCAGGAAAAAGAAATCACAAAACCACATGGCAGTATTCAAGAAATCTGCCAAGAAGGCACAGGGGAGGAAATCGTGAATGACTTGAAAAAATCTCTTAAAGGGTCAGTAACATACGTGGCAGAATACACAAACTATAGATAAAGCCAAAATGCAGATGCGAGATAGAGATAAAATGCAGAAGACATCTACATATTATGGATTCAGACAAGATAAAAAATCCTGCAAATAGTCCTCTCATTTAGACAAAATTTGAAGGAAATGCAGAAATAGAACCCTTAGTCCTACTCCAGATCTAAGATTGACTCAGCACTGAGGCCTGTGAGGGGCCTTCAAAGAGGAAGCTGTAACCCAATAACCACAAGCAGATACACAAGACTCCAAGGCTGAGAGCAGTTACTCCTTCACTCAAGGTAAAGCACTAGGCTGTTAACTCAAAGGCCAGCAGTTCGAACCCACTAGTGGCTCCACAGGAGCTCTGGTAGCATAGTGCCTAAGGCACTTGACAGCTAACCAGAAGGCTGGAGGTTCAAACTCACCAGCCACTCATCGGAAGAAAGATGGAGCAATCTACTTCCGTAGTGATACTGCCTCGGAAACTCAAGGAGGGGTTGCTATGAGTCAGGTCCAACTCGACAGCACATAACAACAACAACAACAACAGTGGCTCCACAGGATAAAAGACCTGGTGATCTGCTCCTATAAAGACTTCAGCCCAGGAAACCCAGTAGGGCAGTTCTACCCTCTCATATGGGGCTGCGGCTTGATGGGATTCGACTTGATGGCGCACAACAATGACTCCTTCGCTCAAAGAGCCTTGGTAGCACAATGGTTAAGTGCCTGGCTAAGTGCTTAGATGCTAACCAAAAGGTTGGTAGTTCAAACCTGCCCAGAGTGTCCACAGAAGAAAAGTCCAGTGATGTGTTTCTGTAAAGATCACAACCTATGAAATGCTATGGGGCAGGTCTACTCTTATCCCATGGGGTCACTATGGAAGGGGGTTGCTTGGAAGCAACCCAACAGCACTTAACAACAACAATCTATAATAAGAGAATATGTAAGAATAAACCCATTGCTGCCCAGTCTGTTCTGATCCATAGCGACCCTCCAGGACAGAGTAGAACTGTCCCATAGAGTTTTTTAGGCCATAATCTTTATGGAAGCCAATGACACATCTTTCACCCATGGAGTGGCTGGTGGATTTGAACTGTCGACCTTTTGCTTAGCAGCCAACCACTTAACTACTGTGCTGTCAGGGTTCCTTTGTATAAGAATGCATATCCTCATACAATCTCTAGAAACACAAACAGAAAGGCTTATGGAAGTGGAACAAGGAAAAATCAAAGACCTATTTAAAAATAATCTTACCTTTTCCAGGCTACTTAGTAAGTGATGGTGAACACCACTCACTCACTGTATAGTGGGCAGGCTGTGTAGACAGTGGTGCTAATGGCTGATAAAAACCACTGGGTCCCAGGCTTAACAGCCAATCAAGGAGGAGGGGGAAGGAAATCTAAATTCACATGCACCTAGTGATCCTGTTCCATGCTGCTGTTCAGCCATAAGTGAAAAATAAGGACAAGCTTCTAATAGGGCAATCTCCAACATGCAGGAAGATAAGCGTGGAACAAATGGCTATACTTACGAAAGGGGCACAATGATGAGATAGGGGCCATTGAGTCTTTTGTGCTCCATCAGATACGTGATGAGTGCAATGGTCTGGATGGTCTTCCCCAGCCCCATTTCATCGGCTAAGATCCCATTCAAATTGTTATTATACAGTGAAACCATCCATTCCAGGCCCTGGAGCTGAAACGAAGAGTAATTGCTTCAATTACCCAAGATCTGCACAGGTAATTAATACTAATACAACTCAAGTGAGGCCGTGACTTCTCCCCTCCACAGCCCTGAATGGTGAGTTTCCTGTAGTCGGGGAGCGGGGAAGCACTGACACGGAGGGAATTTACATCGGAGCTAGGCATCATGCCTGCTGCTTGGCAGGTGCTGGGTGTTAATCAGATCTAGAAGGGTCGGCGGCAGCACACGGGTAGGATTTTAAGCAGCTCCGCCACTCACGCCGACTTAATGTTTCACAGTAGATGGCATTTGAGAATTATTATAAATGAAGAAAACCCAATCCACTGCTGATCCCAAGCACTCCAAGAACAAAAAGCCAATGGGAGGGTGAAAGACAAACCGGAAGGCAGGTTTAATGGGAAGACCCTGATCTTCCAGGAATAGCCTTCCTGGCGATGATGCACCCACCTCAGGGGTAGGGTGCCCTGAGGGAGGAAAGGGGTGACCAAGGAGCCAAGGGGTGCTCTGCTGGCCCACACCACCCAATTCTGGGGGCAAGAAAGCTCCTAGGTAGCACATGGACACTGTAATGTGTGTGCCCTCGAAGGGTCACATACCAGAAGCAGACTGGCTGGAAACATGGTCAATGTATTTTTAAAGTACATCACCACCAGACAAGCAATTTAGGATTGCCCATGATATATACAAGAAAGACTGAGTGGAAATACAAAACAGTTAACATCCTTCTGCCCTCCCCTCACCCCTAGTAACTGTCTCCCTTGTGGCAGAATTCTCATCTTCCACACTGTAATGCTGAACAGCTTCCAATAGAGCTTGCAGACTTAGACTAAGGATTAGGAAGAAAGGCCTGGCAATCTTCTTCTGAAAATCAACCACCGTAAAGGCTGTGGATCCCGATAGTCTACTCTGCAACTGATCATGGGGAAGGTGCAGGACCACACAGCATTTGCTTCCATCCTGCATGGGATCATCACAGGAAACAGGTCAAATGAGACCCCTATTATGTCTGTGCACTAGGTGTCATCCAAACACGGCAGCTCACACCTTTATCGTGCCTTTAAAAGACATATAAATGCAGTACATGCTGCTCCTAGGTGGTGGAATCAGAGCTAAAACTAAGGTCACAACCCACATTTCAAAGAAGTGATTAACTTATTTTAAGATGAGGTTCAGATGTTCCTGCTTTAAAACAGCGTGCCTGGGTTTTAAGGGATCTATAATAAAACTGCTCTGAATATGAAGCCAGTATATTCCTAAAACAAAAGTTATTCCCAAACCATAAATGAGAAACCTGGCATGCGCTGGTGAAGAAGGTGACGGGGAAGTGCTCAGCAGAACTGCAGGCATCATGGGGAGGATCGCAACACTGCAAGTCATGTGACCAACACTTCTCCTCCATCATCAAAACCTCTAAAGAACCCACATGTGCACAACATGCTCGGATCCACAGATCCTTCTCTGCCACAGCCATTACCTGGTAATGCTTCAGGGTCCCATTGATGAGGAGGGCCGACTGCTTCTCTACCCGCTCAGAGATGGCATGAGCCACGGTATAGTAGGACTGGGAGCCCCGCGCACTGTACTGCATGCTGTACTCGTCGTCCACGTCCTGCTTGGCTGTCCTGAGGAGGAGAGTGGGAAGTGCGTGCAGACATCTGGTGTATTATGTGTTATCTGTTTCTGTTCCAAAAATGAACTGACAGCCTAAGTCAGCTGCAAAGTACAGCTTATTTGTCCCTTATGTTGGGAGTGCCTGGGAGCTGCAAATGGGTCAGCACTCAACTACTAGTAGTAGAAAGGCTGGTGGTTCAAACTTACCCAGAGGTGCCTCAGAAGAAAGGCCTAGTTATCTGCTTCCATAAGAAAACAGCCACAAAAACCCTATAGAGCGCAGTTCTACTCTGCACACACGGGCTCTCCATGAGTTGGAATTGACCCAACAGCAACTAACAACAATACATGTCTTAGAGTTAATAAACGTCACCAGTGTTGTTAGCTGCACTCGAGTTAATCCTGACTCATGGCGAGCCCATGCATAATGGAACAAAAGGCTGCCCCACCCTGTGCCATCCCCGTGATCAGTCGCAGACCGGACCTCTGTGATCCGCTGGGTTTTCACTGGCTGATTTTCAGAAGTAGATCATTAAACCCTTCTTCCTAATCTGTCATACTCTAGAAGCTCCACTGAAACTTGTTAGCATCCTAGCAAAACACCAGCCTCTGCTGACAGACAAATGGTGGCTGCCCATGAGGTGCACTGGCTGGGAACCGAACCCAAGTTTCCTGTGTAGAAGGTGAGAATTCTAACCCTCCCCAAAACTAAGCAACCAAAAACAAGCCTATTGCTGATGAGTCAATTCTGACTTATAGAGACCCTCTAGCACAGAGTAGAACTGCCCCATAGGGTTTCCAAGGCCATAAATCTTTAGGGAAGCCGAATGTGCCTCATCTTTCTTCCATGGCATAGCTGCTGAGTTCAAACCACCGACCTTTCAGTTAGCACTGTGCACTTAACTACTGTACCACCAGGGGTCCTTTCAAAACTAAGCAAAGTGGGGATCATTACCATCCCCATTTTATACATATGGTGACCTTGAGGCCCAGACAGGTTAATTAATCTGCCCAGGGTCACAAAATTGGGGACAAGGATCTGAACACAGGTCAGCTTGACCTCAAATGACCAATAAGAGAATGACCCCCACACCCGGCGTGTGTGTGTGGGGGGGCGCTCTGCATAGTCTTCAAGAAACCCATTTCCAAGGAAGCAAGCTTGGTGAGACACGCACTCAATGATCTGCTTAGCATCCTTCTCGGAAACATCTTCACTGTTTGGATCCAGGAGTATTTTCTCTTCCATGTCCTGCCTACCAGACTCTTCCTCCTCATCCTGGGGAAGAAACAAAGATGAGGGAAAATGACACTTCAGCAAGGGAATCGTGACAGCCAGCACTTCTAGAAAACAGATGAAAATGAACTGAATTTCACACAAGTGAAGTAAGCAAATACAATTAGGAGAGGAAGGAAATGGAAGGGTTGCTTAAACAATAAACAATTCCACTGCTATTTAAATCACTGAATCAGAATCAGTGAAAGGAACCCTTTGGGGACCATCTAGAGCCCTTGGTCCCAAGAACTGTTGTTGGTGTGGTTGTTTACAGTTGTCAAGTTGGCCCTGGCTCAGGTCACCTTGTCCTGCACCATCCCCATGATCGGCTGTAGATCATTTGGGTTTCACTGGCTGATTTCCAAAAGTGGGTCACCAGGCTTTTCTTCCTAGTCCATCTTACTCTGGAAGCTCCGATAAAACCTGTCCAGCGTCATAGCAACACATAGCCTCCACTGATACATGGTGGTGGTTGTGCCTGAGGTGCACTGCCCAGGGTTTGAACCAGGGTCTCCTGCATGGAAGGTGAGAATTCTACTACTGAACACTAATGCCTCATTTCCTCTTCTTGTGTGCAAACGAATTTGGAATTCACCAAGTTTCCCCATTGGCCAGGATCCTCTAAATGGTCACTGAACCACTGAGCCTACACCATGAAAGCATTTGCTAATCCTGAGCCCACTCATCACCGGAAGGCCAATGCTGGGGGAAGAAGGGACAGAAAGACACAGGCCCTGAGTTCACGGATATAATTCTTCCCCATGAACTTCCAAACCAACAGACCAGAAGAAGAGACACATACATACCTCCTCCTCATAATCAGAATCGCTCTCCTCACTGTCCGACCTAGGAGCAACTTCATAGCTACAGGAAAAGGAGTGGGGAAAAGAGGACTTAGTTTTTCACATTATAAAACAATGACATGCACATGCGACATGACTGCCATGTCCTATGCACAAATGACAAATACAGGTGTCAATTCCAACCACTTTAGAAAAGACCGTGTTGCTTTCGCTTTAAATGCTACAGGGCAACCAGAACCCAAAAAGCCCAAGAACACTGCTATTTCTGCTTTACCCAGGGTTCATTTCCAACCAGGCGTCCAGCTGACTCGCTTTGGGAGCTTCTGGTCCAAAAAGGACCTTTCCGGTTTCTGTGTGGGTTACTTTGACGGGCAAGTCACTCATCTGGCTGCTCTCATCTATGGGCTAGAAGGAGAGAAGACACCATCACTCGATGCTGAGACATTGCCCCTGATTCCGGCAGGATACTCCTCAGCCTTGGGGCTGCTCAGCATCTGAGGCCTCTTTCTGGGTCTAGGGATTCCTGGCCCTCGTGAGTCCTGCTGGAAAGCAGAACGCTACCTTGCACTGTATGAAAACAAATCCATTGCTGTCAACTCCGACTCATGGTGACCCCATGTGGTACACAGCAGAACTGCATTCCATAGGATATTCTTGGCTGTATTCTCTACGGAAAAGGAGCCCTAGTGTCATGGTGCTTAAAGCACTCAGCTGCCAATCACAAGGCTGACAGGTAGAATCCACCAGCTGCTCTGCAGAAGAAGAAAGATGAAGCAGTCTGCTCCTCCAACGATTATAAACTTGGAAATCCCATGGGCAATTCTACTGTGTCTTATAGGGTCACTAAGAGTTGGCATTGACTTAATAGCAGTGGGTTTGGTTTTTGATGAATCTCTAATGGAAGGTGCCCTGGTGGCACAATGGTCAAGCACTCAGCTACCAACTGAAAGATCAAGGTTTGAATCCAGCCAGTGGTTCCACAGAAGAAAAACCTGGTGATCTGCTTCCATAAAGATGACAGCCAAAAAAACTCTACGGGACAGTTCTGTCACATGGGGTTGCCAGGAGTTGGAATCAACTTGACAACACCCAACAACAACAATCTTTACAGAAGCAAACGGCTAAGCCTTTCTTCTGTGGTGCTACTGGGTGGGTCTGAACTGCCAATCTTAAGTTTGTAGCTGAGTGCAAACCATACACACCTCCCAGGGGCTCTCATCATAGAGAAACTGAAAATGCCACCCCATGATGCTGTGGTACAGGCAGCACAAGGCCACGCACAGCACCACCAAGAGGATGTGCTCTCCAAGGCTCTGAGATGTTCCAACTGCGGGGGACATTCAAGTTGTGGGGAATGACAGGAACAATGATGGAAGGCACATGATGGTAGCAGCAAGGCCTCCTGCCAGCAGCAGCAGTATCCTCCCTGGACCACTTGTACAATATAATGCCAGATGTGGCCCCAGGTCAGGTGCTCCTGTCTTCCTGGAGACCTACTGAACAGCCCAATATCCTATTATTACATCCCCTTCTTAACTAAAATCAAAGAGAGATACTTTTCGTCCTTTGCAAATAAGAACCCCTAATACGTTTTCCCACAAGGAAAACCACTTACAACCATAGCAAACCACGGTTTCAGAGAGACTAGGAAAAGGAAAAGGTGTTGTAATTTGTGTCATCTGACTGGTTGGTTTGGCTTCTGCAGAATCAGGGTCCTTTATCCAAAACCGAAACCAGTTGCCTCCAACTTGATTCCAACTCATAGTGATCCCATATGTGTGTCAGGGTAGAGCTGGGTTCAGTAGGGTTTTCAATGTTTAATTTCTGGGAAACCAAACTTGCCAGGCCTTTCTTCCAATGCACCTCTGGGTGAACATGAACTTTCAACCTTTCAGTGCACAGCCAAGTACTTTAACCATTGGCACCATTCAGGGATGTCATCCAAAACCAAACCACTAGGTGTCTAACCCAACTGTTATCACTTCTAAGTGCGACAAAGAAAAAAAAAAAAAAAAAAGCTCTGCTAATGTGAAACCTGACGAATCGACTAAGGCTGAACTGAAGTTCATTACTAGACTATGAAAAATGACTTGCTCAGGAAATTAACAGTAATGAAATTGCAGAGGCTGCATTTAACCCACTTCAGAGAACAAATTACTGTAAAAGACCTGGACCAGAGTAATCCTATGCAAATGAGTGTTACTGGTTATAGGGGGCCATTCCTCTAGGATCGACCCCCAGGCAAGACCTGTGTTGAGAAAGGCTTGATTTGTAAGGAGTTCAAGTAAGTTATCCATCTTCTTAAAAGTAATCAAATCGAATGTCTACACAATTCCTACCAAAGGAATTTTCCTAAATTATTTTTAATGCCAAACCAAAAAAAACAAATTCACTGCCATGGAGTCAGTTCAGACTCAAAGCGACCCCTCCTTGGGTTTCCGAGGTGGCATCTCTATGGAAGCAGATTGCCCAGTCTTCCTTCCGAGGAGCGGCTGGTAGGTTTGAACTGCCAGCCTTCTGGTTAGCAGTCAAATGCCTTAGGCACTATGCCACTAGGGCTCCTATTCTTAATGAGGATTAAGCAAAAAATACAACGGCATGCTGAGTGTTATTTTTAGGGGCGGATTACCCAAAGCAAGGTAAGCACAGGCTTACTTGTGCTTATTTACTCATCTGTCATGAATAACTTCCCATGGGTTTTACAACATCTTTCAGCACAAGTAAGCCTGTGCTTACCTTGCCTACTGGGTACTCCATCCCCCTCAGGGATTTAAATGTGAAAAGGGACTTTGATTCTTTAGGAAGGTGTTGTGGGGTTGGGAGAGTAACAGATGCCAGCCATCCCAAAAACTGAATCTTTGCCATGGTGAAAAAAATGTGCAAGTGTTCACTACAGATTAGTAAATAAACACACGTAAGCCTATGCTTACTTTGCTTATTGGGTATTCCAACACTAATTATTTTCTCTTTCTTATAGAAGTAGATGTTCTTACTAATGTCAGAAAGTAGTGGTTAGTTCCCACCAAAAACAAAAATAAATAACCCAAATCCATTGCCATCAAGTCAATTTCTGACTCATGGCAACTCTTGTTATAATCAGAGACAATGTATTAACAATTATCCACAAAAATAACTTTTAAAAAAAGAAAAGTTATCCTCCAGATTGTCCTTTTCTCCTTTGTGTGCGCTAAAGCAATGGTTGCTAAGGCCATCACCTTCTGTGAGGCGATGAGGCGTCCTCCTCATGAATCTTAAAGGTCATCTACACGCTCACAAGATCAAGAAGGGGCGCTACCATTCGCCCTCACGTCCCTCAGAGAAATCGTATTCCATTATCCGTAACTATTATACTACAGCGGGTATTATTGCTTACGTCATGCCTCAGAGAAAATTGGAAATCACTGTAGCTGGAATTAGAACTTTGGCAGAGAGCACGGAATGAGCACAGCAGAGCGGAATAAGAGCATTATTTCAAAACAAACTGAGCAAGCTGCTCACTTTGCAAACTTCAGCAAACACACTGCACACTTTTAAAGATTAAAAGGAAAAGAGAAGAAAAGGTGTTTGTCATGGGCCCCAGATTGGTAGTTAATTTTCCCAAGAGGCAGTAAGAGAGAAGAGCATTTTTACACAAATATGTTAAGTCTCTTCCCCATGCTTGTTAATTACAGACTGGCAGTAAGGCAGGTGTAGGTCAGGCTGGGATTTTGCAAATTAGAGCCGTTTCTAAATACTCTCATATATGGTATTCTTGCTCCATACCAGCCCACTGAGAGTTTTTTACGCTTTAGCTATTTATCCTAATCTTTTCTTCACTTGTGATAATATAGTAGCTAAGGAACATTTATTGTTCCAGAGGTTTCTGTGTGGAATAGTGGTTTCCACCTCTTTTTCCCTAGATCCAGGCAATTCACATTCACAATGTACCTGGCAGGCACAAGATCCTAGAATGGGCAGGAGCGACAGCCTGCCCACCCCAGTCTCCAGGATGGGTTGTCAGCCTATGTGAGAGCAGGGGAGGGTGGTTTCAACTATCTGTCAACCATCATGCTCTGGAGCTGTGCCTCCTTGCACAGAGGAACCTTGAGTTTCTTAGAAATTCACTAAATACATCAGTGTATTCTGTATTCTCAAGTTTCAGGAGAAAACTATAAATACTAGGAAATAAAGTTTAAGAAGATGCTGCAGAATCTACAAACAGAAACAATATTGTAAAGCTACAGAAAATGTCAAAAAGTAAGTTAACCAAATATAGGTGAATTGCTTGGTTTAGGTATTTTTCTAATTTCAAATGATAACAAACAAGGGAAGGTGGGTTATAGTTTACACTTATCTATTGGTTACTGAGGAGCTCTGGTAGCATAGTGCCTAAGGCACTTCACTGCTAACCAGAAGGCTGGCGGTTCAAACCCACCAGCCACTCCTCAGAAGGAAGGTTGGACAATCTACTTCTGTAGTGACACTGCCTCAGAAACCCAAGGAGGGGTCGCTATGAGTCAGGTCTGACTTGACAGCACATAACAACAACAACATTGGTTAGTGGGCACACGTAATTAAAGCATCACTTATGAGTCTTACACACTCTGTATAGTCATAAATATATGCCTGTAAGTGCACAGGAAATTCTAGAATGGGATACAAGAAACTTCCTATCAGTTGTCTGAGATAGAAGCAGATTTTTCACTGTATCCCTTTCATACTATTCTAGTTTTCTACTATGTCAACATACTACTATTTTACTTAAAAATGATTAGCTGAGTAAACAGAAAATCGTTATACACTGAGAATGGAACTAGAAAGTATGACAAGGACTCCATTCAGCAGAAAATAGCAGAAATCGTTGCAAAATTCCTTACCTCACCATCTGGCCCCAGGACAGACTCCCCTCCCTCGGCATTCTCTTCAGCTTTCTGCAAAACAGCAATGGCATTACTAGGGATATATCCTAAAGAAGTGAGAGGCAGGACAAGAACAGATATATGCACACCGATGTTCATCGCAGCACTATTTATAATAGCCAAAAGATGGAAACAACCTACATGCCCATCAACAGAGGAATGGGTAACCAAACTACAGTACATATACACAATGGAGTACTATGCAACCCTAAAAATAACATAGAATCTGCAAAACACCACCTAACGTGGATGAACTTAGAGGACATTATGCTGAGTGAAATAAGCCAATCACAGAAGGACAAGTATTGTATTAGTTCATTATTGTAAAAATTCAAGGAAAGGTTTATATATGGACGGAAGTTTTCTTTCTTGATTACCAAGGGCAGGAGGGTAGGGGAGGAAACACTGCTAGAAAGGTAGAGATAAGTACTGATTTGGGTGAAGAGAAGGGCAATGGACCAAATGTGAATGATCAACATGGTGGCATCAAGGAAGAGGAAGACAGAGAGAGTTGCATAGGAGGTATAGACACCAAAGATGAACCCTTTTGCACATACAGTACTATGTTGTCAGTGAAGGTAAACATGGATAGATGGGTAGACAGGCTAACTATGAGGTATGTCTACGCAGAGGGGAGAAGGTTCGTGTCCATGACCATGGGTAGGGTTGGCAGACAACGTTTCGACAAGTGTATCTTTATGTTCTGTAAGAATTTCCAGGTATATAGTAGAATTGACAAGGGACAAGGTTGTAGTCACTTCTTGGCCACAGCCAGCTACCCAGAGGAAGCAAGCAGTTGGACCTGTGGGCTCAGGACCATAGCTGCAGGGGACATCAAGCTCAATTGGCATAACATACTACACAAATACATTGTTTCTCATCCTACTTTGGCAAGTAGCTACTGGGATCTTAAAAGATTGCAAGCAGCCACCTAGATGCAACAATGGGTCTCTCCTCATTCAGAGCAAAGAATGAAGTAAACCAAAGACACATGGAAACAGTTAGTCCAAGTGACTGGTACACCATGTGATCTTTAGCTTATAGGACTATGAGACCAGAAGAAATAGATGATGCCCAGCTACCACTGTCAACCACTCAGAGGGGGATCTATGTAGGAGACCCTGGGTAAAACGGGAGAACAATGTGGAACAAAATTCAAAATCATTAAAAAAGAAAAAAAATGTCCCCTAGCTGCCCTTCAGGTCTGGAATTGAACCCACTCTTGTGGCTTCCAGCCAAACAAAAGACAGGCATATGAGCTGAACATTTACATTAGGTAGATAGACTCTTTGGAGAGATCACTCATGGGAGAATAGAAGGGGCTGTGTATGCAGAGGGAGACAGTTCAGGGGGCAGGAGCGCATGGGAGGAAAAGACAAAGGGAAGGGGTAACTATGGGGAGGAAGTGGGACGAGAGCTGTTGCATTATGGTAAACTGCAGTCAATGTCATGAGACAAGGTGTATGTGAACTGCTGTATGGAAAAGGAATTTGCTCTGTAAACTTTAACCCAAATTGAAAAAAAATAAAAATAAACAGCAATGGCAAACATTATGTGCCAACCATGAAGGTGGGTACAGGAAGTACTTCATGGCAACTCTCTGCGAAAAAGAGTACTTCATGCCCACCCATCACCATCTAACAAAGCTTAAGCATGAATGCCTTTTATTTTTACATCTCTTCACTATTTGAGGAAAAGTGTGTATTTTATTAGCAACTTGCAGAGTCATTTCAAGGCAGCTGTGGTCCAAGGCCAGCCCATGGAAGACATGTGGATTGTGACTGCAAGGGCCCAAAGATCCTAAGACCTGGTGGCAACAAGATGGTGGTCAGAACCTGGAATGTTCTCACATTTGGCACCATGACGACAAGTCCTGGCGTAATTAGCACCATCTTCCTATTCCCTAACCAGGTTTTGCTTTCATTGTGGTAAATATTTTGTAACAAAACATCTGCCATTTCAAATTCTCCCCATGTACAGTTAAATAACATTAAACCATCACCATTATCCATTTCCAAACGTTTCCATCATCCTTAACAGAAGCTCATTGTCTGCTAAACGATGAGTCCCCTTCTCCCTCTCCCTCCTGCCTGCCCCTGCTAATGACTAATCAACTTTGGTGTCTATGTTGTTGTCCTTGAGTGTCGTCAAGTCGATTTCAACTCATAGCAACTCCATGTGACAGAGTAGAACTGTGTCATATGATTGTCCAGTCAGTTATCTTTACCAGAACACAACACCAAGTCTTCCTTCCATGGAGTCACTAGCTGGGTTACAGCCATCAATCTTTCAGTCTCTATACATTTGCCTATTCTGGATGTTTCATATAAAAGAGGTTGTATCGTATTTATCTTTTTAGCACTGACTTATTTCATTCAGCGTAATGTTTCAAGGTTCATCTATGTTGTAGCATTTCATGAATGCTAAAGAACATGAATTGAAAAATGCCCATCAAGAAAAATACACGTTAGGACCATAGACTCAGAGGACAACTAGGTCAACTGGCATCACACTGTCCACTGAGAAAATGTTCTACATCCTACTTAGGTGAGTAGTGACTAGGGTCTTAAAAGCTTGCAAGTGGCCATCTAAGACACAACTAATGGCCTCTCTGTGTCTGGAGCAAAGAAGAGTGAAGAAAATCAAAGACACAAGAAAACAGTCCAAAAGGACCTATGGACCACATGAATCCCAGCCTCCATGACCCAGAGACTGAAAAAACTATGTAGTGCCCAGCTACCACTACCAACCACTATGACTGGATCACAACAGAAGGTCCCAGATAAAGTAGAAGAAAAATGTGAAACAAAACTCAAAATCATAAAAAATAAATAAATAAATAAAGACCAAATTTATTGGTCTGATAGAGACTGGTGAAACAACCAAGACTATGGCCCTCAGACACCTTTCAAACCTGCAAGTAAACCTACCAGCAGGGATCGCCTTTCACCCAAACAATAGACAAGCCTATAAAAGTGAATACTAATACCAGGGAGTAATTAAATCCTCACAACAATCAACTGTACCAGAGCAAAAGGGCAACATTTGCCTAAAAATAAAGCTCAGAGCAGGAAGGGCAGGAAAGGACAAATGGAAACAGGAACCTAGGGAGGAAGTGGGAAGAGTGTTGTTAGAATGAGGGGATTGTAGCGAATGTCACAAAACAAAACGTGAATAAATTGTTGAATGGGAAACTAATGTGCTCTGTATAAACTTTCACCCAAACTACAATTAAATAAATAAATCGTAAAGCCACATGCTACTCCTGGGTCACTACAAAACAATGCAAAATTCTGTGAGCTTGCTGGATGCTTTCATTCTACATAATTAGCTTTCATATAATATAGCATTTCCACAGTGGGTCTATGGGACACTATGATCTCATGAACAATTCTGTTATCTACCATTTCTTAAATATCTTAATCCATTAACTTCTATGTACCTAAGTGAAAAGTTAGGATAAGGAGCCATGGTGGTACAATGGTTAAGCACTCAGCTGCTGAGAGGTTAGCAGTGGAATCCCACCCAAGAGCACTGTGGGAGAAAGATGTGGTGATCTGCTTCCATGAAGATTACAGCTAAGAAAACCCTACGGGGCTGTTCTACTGTCACACTGGGTCACTATGAGTCAGAATCCACTCGAAAGCACCCAAAAATAATGGCATTATGTAACATTTTGTACATACCCAGGAGTCTCAGCTGCAATATACACAACTTAGTCTAAGATTTCTTAAGTTTATAGTACCCTCTCTGAAAAATGAAATCTTTAGTATCACCTTTACAGAATCCTTATCTTTAAGATATCATTGGAAAGCAACACTTGTCAGGTGCCGTCGAGGCAGTTCCCAGTCATAGTGACCCCACGTACAACAGAATGAAACAGTGCCTGGTCTGGTCCTGCAGCATCCTCACAACTGCTGCTATGTTTGAGCCCATCGTCACAGCCACAGTGTCACACCATCTCATTGTGAGTCTTCCTCTTTTTTGCTGACCTACTACTTTACCAAACATGGTGTGATAGTTGGAGCTATGTGTCAACTTGGCTGGACCACGATTCTGTGTGGTTTGAGCTGTTGTGATGCGGTTATTCCCATGATGGGATCAGATGATTATGTTTTGAGTAGCCAATCTGTTGAAAAGGAGTTTCCCTAGGGGTGTGGCCTGCTTCCAGTATATCTATGGACATCCTGGGAAAAGAGACGTTCTTCTGTGGATTAGGATTCTGTGCTGCCTACAACTGTCCATGAGTGAACAATCCACCATTTGGCCTGGAGATCTTGGATTCGTCATTCGTTGGAGTCAACAGCCAGTATACTGCCTGCCAGCTCTGAGCTCCTCAGCCCCTGCACCTGCAAGAGTTGGGAAAAGCCTCCAGCTTGACATGGAAAAGCCTCCTGCCTGACATTTGATCCAGGAACTTTGGACTTGCCAACTTCTATAAGTGTGTGAGCCATTTTCCTAAGATAAATTTCTCTCCATATAAATACATATAAGCTTTACTGGTTTTGTTTCTCTAGAGGACCCCGTCTAACATACGTGGTATCCTTCTCCAGGGACTGGTGTCACCTGATAACATTCAAAGTACATGTGACGAAGTCTCACCATTCTCACTTCTAAACTTCTAAGGGGCATTCTGGCTGTTATTCTTCCAAGACAGATTTGTTTGTTCCTCTGGTAGACCATGGTATATGCAAGAGTCTTCACTAACACTATAATTCACAGGCATCAATTCATCTTCAGTCTTCATTATTCACTGCCTGGCTTTTGCATACATATGAGGCAAATGAAAATACCATGGCTTGAGTCAGGCACACCTTAGTCCTCAAAGTTACATCTTTGCTTTCTAACACTTTAAAGACATCTTTTGCAGCAGATCTTCCCCATGCAATACAAAATTTGATTTCTTGACTGCTGCTTCCATGGACATTAACTGTGAATCCAAGTAAAACGAAATCCTTCACAACTTCAATCTTTTCTCTGTTTATCATGATGTTGTTTATTGGTCCAATTGT